CATCTTGTAGACGACGACTACGAATAATCTGACAATTTAGATAAAGCAGGTAGAACATTTGTGTAGCGTGCTGACAAAACGAGTTACTTCTTTGATTGGTGCCCAATAGAAATAAATAAACCAAGCTTAATAATAGATAGCATTTGTATAGCGCATATCCCCGCTCAACAGCAGGCTCTATGCGCTTTACACTATATTATTACCCCAGCAGACCATAGAACACTCCGAAACATTCTCAGCTTCCGAGGAAGCATACAGTGCAAGCTGCGGATTTCACGCGCTCAAACACTATCAAGCTGACAAGATCGTTCACTGTCTATAGCCGGATACCCATTTCCACCTGGGTGAAGTGAGGAAAATTTGTGCAAAGTGCCTTTCCTAAGGACACAACGTCGGGCCCCTGACTGGATTCGAACTCCCGACCTTACGGTTGCGAGTCCGAGCGCCTAACTACTAGGCCACCGACGCCACGTTGAAGTTTTTTTTAACAATTTATAAGTATGAAATAACAAAAGGCGTGTCATACTGTCTTAACGAATAATAACATGGCATCATTAGAAAATCTACAAATTTGAACCTGGTGTCGATTTTTGGCTAATATCTCCATACTTTGTGGATTGCGAGAAGTAACTCATTTTACCAGCATGCCTCGCATTTGGTGTCTCACCGCATTTTCTTAGTAGCTTAAAATGAGAAAAAAAAGTATCAGATTGAACCTCAGAATGACGAAGTTCTATAATCTGACACTTTTTACCTTTTTGGGTTATCAAATATTCTATCTGCTCTAGTGGGAGGTTGGCGGGTGCTCTGGTGTGGTTTGCTTCTTCTTTCCTATCAAACATCTATCGTCCTTATCTCCCCTGCTTCTTTTTCATATTTGTAACTCTCTTGTAGCACCTCTAATCTTCTGGCGCAGTTGCGAGCGCCGTAAAACCTCTACTAAAACAAAAACTATCTGCTCTATAAAAGTTGTAAGATTATTCGGAGTCGGTATCAAGATATTCCAAGGAATTTCTCAAAGCAGGGTACTGAGAAGATACAACTTTGTAATTGGTCGCTTTTAAGGACAAGCGGGCTAACTAACCCAGATTTCGGGGGTTTCCAGAAATCTTGACCTACACCAAAGGTGGGCATTGTCCTACCTATAGGAGAAGTTTGGTTTCATTGGTGTGTATATTTGTTTAGTTATGGAGAAAACTCTCGTTGACTTTTAAAAAAACTGAACAAGGGTCCAAAAACTTTA